ACATGTAACTAAAAATGTTGGTACAGTCAATCCCTCAAAAAGTTGAAAGTGACATGTGTAGAATTAGCCAATTGAACTGTGAGGCGGCTTTGTTTCAGGGAGATAAACTTGATAGAGTTCAGAAACAGCAGATGTGACCTCACTAGGGTAGAGGACAGTTGCTCTAGTTATGTCTTGGTTCACCTAGGAGAGATCAAAGGCTTACCCACTGGGACTCAGTAGGCATAGGTACAAGAATCTCTGATTTCTTCAGTGTGGGAGCTCCCCCTACCAGATGATTGAGCCTTTGTACAAGGTAACCTGGCCAACTTTAAAGTCGGCAGAGGCTCATCAAAATTTGTCTAGGGTCAAAGTAATAAAGTATCCTTTTTTTTTTGGCAGTGACTTTGGCCTTGTTATTTTTTTAAATATTTTTTCCCACTTATCATTTATTTCAGCTGAGCACTTGGACTGCTGTCCCAGCCTGCATACAGGAATCACTTAATAAATGTTGGACTTAGTAGAAGAAAAAGTCTTGATTTTAAACAGAAACTGGGGGTACAGTCTCTTCTCTTCTCTGAGCCTCAGTTTCCTCTTCCGTCAAATAAGATGACCACTAAGATGACCCTTTCAAGCTAAAGATTTTGCGATTCTAGGAGGCTAGGAATTGAATGGCGCCTTTCACAGCGCACTCTCTTTGGAAGCCGCCATCTTCCGTACGCAAAAGCCACGCACTGCGCATGCTCTCCTTTTCCGGGGACACAAAGCCGATTTGTGCGCATGCTCCCGCTCAGTCAGCCGGAAGTCCAGCTGGCGGCGGCTTGACTAGAAGGATTGGGAGCGAGGACCACGGGCTTTCGGGCCTCGGTGCGTCCGGGTTTCCGGGAAGGGGGCGAGGAGGGGGAGGGAGCTCGGCCCCGGGGCTGTGGGCAGCGGAGTCGAGCCGAAGCTCTCCCCGGGCTGACCTAGCCTTGGAACGGTAGCCTCTTCAGCCCTGAGGGTTCGGGATGCGTCGAGTTTGGCGTCTCTTGTGGCGCATGCGTGGTTTGTCTTCAGACGTTCTTTACTGAGCCCGGCCCTCCCGTGCGGGCGGGGGGCGGGGGATGGCCTGAAAGAGCATCCTTCTCCAGGCCGAGGTTTCTTCCTCTGCGAAATAAGCTGGGTAGAATTAGAACCTAGGGCCTTCTTATGACTAGACGGTCTCAAAGGCCCTTTCCAACCCAAATCTATTTCATTCGTGTCTGACTGTCCATGACCCCCTTTGGGGTTTTCTTGGCAAAGATACTGGAGCAGTTTGCTGTTTTCTTCTCCTGATCATTTTACAGATGAGGAAACTGAGGCAAACAAGGTGAAGGGACTTGGCCAGGGTCACACAGCTAGTAAGAATCTGAGGCTGGGTTTGAGCTCAGGAAGATGAGTCTTCCTGATTCCAAGTACCTAGGGTTTTGGGGGTTTTTCTTTGCCCCTAGGATTTTTCTAATTCAAGTCTCACAACTGTCTCTCTCCCCCTATTCCCCCCTCTCCTCCCCCACTTTCCAGGTAAGGTAACTGAGGCTCAGAAAGGTTTAAGTGATTTGCCTACAGCAGGAAATTTAGAGGATGTAAATACATTGCCTAGGGTAGCACAGCTGGGAAGGAGTCAGAAGCAGGAGTAGAACCCACGTCTATCATAATGCCCAGCTCTAGCACAATTCATATCTTTCAGTTGTGAGGGAGTGGTCTAAGTCTAGTGATTCAGTTCAGCAACAAACTTTTATCAAGAACTTGCTGTGTGCAAGAAGTGCTTCTAGGTTCTGTAGTTAGAGATGAAAAATAACAATTCTGATTAGAGGGGCAATGCCATGTAGGCAGATGTTACAATACAGGTTTCAGTGTCATGTGAGCAGAAGAGAGATCCAGACCTAGCCCACTAAGGAGAAATATCAGAAAAGCTATAATAGAAGAAATGAGGAAAGACAGAGCATTGGACCTAGAGTCAGGAAGACCTGAGGTTAGATTCTGTCTTAGATGCTTAACTGTGTAACACTGGGCAAGTCACTGAACTTCTCTGCCTCAGTTTCCTCATTTGCAAAATGGGGATAATCATAACACTCATCTCCCAGAGTTGTGAGTATCAAATGTGTTATTTGTAAAGCATAAATGCTAACTGTTATTATCACTGTTTTATTAATGCAATAGCAAGTAGTAAGAATAACTGGCATTTAACTTTTTAATGTTTACAAAGCACTGCTCATGTGATAGCCGTCTATAGGCAAGGGAACTGAGACTTACAGAGGTTAGCTTATATACCCATGGTCCCAATAGGTAGTAAGTATTAAAGCCACTGTTCAAACAAAGGTCCCCCAATTCCAAGCAAAGTATGCTCTATTGTGCCATAAAAATACAAATAGAGAACATATAAATAAATGTGGGAGAACTAATATAAAGTGATACCCAGATAAGAAAGCAGAATCAGAACAATATGTATACTAATATAGCTTTAAACATGTAAAAATAAAAAGTAGAAAAAAAGATAAGGGAACACAAACAGGATGTTTTAGTTGTTTTGTTAAAGGTGATATGTGCTTTTTTTCTCAAAGTGAAGTTTATGGTTTTATGTGTGGTTTAATTTTATTTCAGTATTTTTACTTTAAAATTAAAAAAAATAAAGTCAGGTTGTTGGGCAAGGTGATTTGTGAGGTCCTGTCACTTCTGTAATCCAGTGATCCTGTGGTCATAAGAGCCCTTTAGTATTATTTGGTGACCTTGTCCAGAGCAGCCCCCAACAAATGATCTCCATTAGGTGTGCCCTGTAATCGTTTGATCATCCCTTCTGAATCGGATTTTCTTTGGTTTCTTGTCACCCAGGGAAGCCGACAGTATGGAGGCGCCACCAGTCACCATGATGCCAGTAACAGGTGGCACTATCAATATGATGGAGTATTTATTGCAAGGTAAGTTAGCCTAGGAATTGGATATGTCACCCACTTTGTCCTTTTTTCTATCAATTATGATAAACGTTTTTGCCAGGAGATAGGGCAGCTTAAGTGTGTGTGGTTCTTGAGTGGGTAATGGGAACCTTGGATTCTGGGTCAAGCTTTGCCTCTAGGTGGTTGTGGCCTTAGATGAGGAAACTCAGACTCAGAAAGATTGAGTAGCCTCTGGGCTCAGTGGCCTCCTGAGTAAAAAAGGGCGGCTAGAGTAGATGGTCTCTTAAGAGCAAGCGGCTTTATAGATGGTTATCTAGAATGACATTCAGGATTTAGCGGAGTTTCCTAGGAATTCTGGTCCTCCGTCGCGCCCCTTCAGGTTATTGTTTCCTGACGAAAGTGAAAAGTGAGGTTCCCTGACGGTTTCCTTCCCTTCAGGAAGTGTTTTGGATCACAGTCTGGAGAGCCTCGTTCACCGACTTCGGGGTCTGTGTGACAACACGGAGCCTGAGACTTTTCTGGACCATGAAATGGTGTTCCTCTTAAAGGGGCAACAGGCTAGCCCTTTTGTTTTAAGGGCCCGGAGATCGATGGACAAAACAGGGGCGCCTTGGCACCTGCGCTACCTGGGACAGCCTGAGATGGGGGACAAGAACCGCCACGCCCTAGTGCGTAACTGTGTAGACATTGCCACGTCCGAGAACCTGACTGATTTCTTGATGGAGATGGGCTTCCGAATGGACCATGAGTTTGTTGCCAAAGGCCACTTGTTTCGAAAAGGTATCATGAAAATCATGGTTTACAAGATTTTCCGCATCCTGATGCCAGGAAACACAGATAGCACCGAGGCTCTGTCCCTCTCCTATCTTGTGGAGCTAAGTGTTGTGGCCCCAGCAGGACAGGACATGGTCTCTGACGACATGAGAAATTTTGCTGAACAACTAAAGCCTTTGGTTCACTTGGAGAAGATAGACCCCAAAAGGCTAATGTGACAGAAAGGGACTGCCTGACATTGGGGTCTGTTCTTTTGTATTATAGAAACCCAAACTCTAAATAAATATCCTTGAGCAACAAAAATTGGACTTCTTTACTTTAAGAATCAGGGTCCCAGAACCTTACCTAAGCTCTGGACCTCCAGTCTCCTTTTCTGGAGATTTCAGCATGGTATGCTTCAATCTCTTTGGAATGAAAAGTCCAGTCATTTTGTGCCATTCAGTTAGCTTGTTTGTTGGGCTATATCAGATTGTCATCTTTAAAAATTAAAATTTTTTTTTCAGTTGTCAAACCTTTGCTTTTTCTCCCTTTTCTGGAAATACAAAAGAAAAAGAAAATCCTTGTAACAAATATTTAGCAGTGCTATTTTGATGGTATCTCACCGAAAATTTGATTGGATTTCATTCTGATAACCCTTTTCTGTTAGCACAGGAAAAAGAGGGTGAACAAAACCAGTTTTTTGGAAGCAAAGGAAAGCTTTAACTCAGTTTTTCCCCATTAAGATTTTGAGTGAGAGTATCTAGACCAAAGGCAGTGAGTATATGCCATATGGTAAAATAACACGTAAAGCAGTGGGTCCATAGTTTCTAATTCTCCTTTCTATTTCCACTCTAACCATTGGCAAGTTTTTTACCAACTGTAGAAACATGCAGAAATCTACACATCCTGTGAGGCCAAAATCAGGCATAGCTTATGGTGTGATTAACATAAAGAATGTTTATTTTTAATATTTTATGAATACTCCTTATTTTCAAGTCAGAGTCTCTTGTGGATATTCCTTTCACCTCCTCCCATCTCCCTTGTAATCAAGAAAATAAGTTAAGCAAAAAGGACTTCTCCAAGTGACTATATCTGATAGCCCAGTGCCTCATCACAGAGAAAGCGGAAGGTTTATTTTCTTATCTGTCCTTCCCAGTTCATTATTAGTTTTTTTTTTAATTTACTCAGAATAATTAAACAATTCCTTTAAATGATGGTTTCATTGTCAGTGTCCTTTACTTTATGTCTTATTCTTTGCCTCTGCTTACTTCATTTTGCACCAATTTATATAGACTTTCCCCAAGAATTATTTGTTGTTTTTTAATTAAATTTATTCTTTCCAGTGCACAGACTGTGTAACCTCATGAGAGAGAGTGCAAGCTGTGGATAAGTGTGAGTCTGCTAAAAATCTTCCTACGTTTCTCCAAGGTTCCTGTGTGGTTATAGTCTAAGCTCCCCTGTTCTTAATTAGTTGACCTTAGACTTAAGGTCACTTATGTTCTTTGGGCTTAAATTTCTTTATATCTAAACTGTGTGAGAATGGCCTAGAGGATCTTAGTTCCCTTCTACCTCTCAAACTGACCAACTTAAATTTTACCTATTTCTGAATTTGCTGGTATTGATCTTTTGGGATTTGGGATAAAAATGGTTGCAAAGATAAATAGCTTACCTTCTTAAATGTCTAATAGCATTTTCGTAATCCTTCTGAAAAACTGACTCTTCCAACTTTTCAGTTTCTATCAGCAATCCAATAATTCTCAGTCACCCAGTTCAAAATCTGAATAATCTCTGAACCTTGTTTTTTTGTCATCTCCCACATCTAATCAGTCACCCAGTCTTGGCCATTCTTTGCTTCAAAATGCTTCATGAATCAGTCTCTTTTTATTCTCACTGTCAGAACCCTAGTGAAGGCCCTCATTAAATCTCACTTTTATTAATGAACAGTATCCTAACGAATAGCTCCCTGCCTTCAGTGTCTACCCATCCAATCTAACCTGCTCGAATAATATTGTGGTGTTAATCTTAAAACACTCCTTTCAGTGTATCATTTTCTTGCTGTAAAGAAACTGCATCAATTGCCTATTGGATAAAATATTACGGACTTCAAATATGTCTTGGTTATCCCCACCACTGTGCCTTTCCTCATGGTGTGCCTTTTCATTTAATCTATGCCTATTCTTCTTTGCCTAATTTAAATCCTACTTCTTCAAAATCTAGTGTAAGTCCTACCAGAAAGACCACCATGCCCCATAATGGTACATGTCTGCTTTTGACCCAGGCCCACATTTCAGACCAGGGTGGAGGCAAGGGACACTTGTTAGAACAGTAAAAAGCCAAAGTGGGAAGTCAGTCAGCTTGCCAACATTCCTGACAGAGTGCCAGGCCTTCCTGGCTCAAAACTTGTGCTTGGGCCCCTAGCTTTCCAATTCCACAAGTCGTGAGATTTTGATGTTCTGAGAAACCCTGATCTGCCCCCAGTCACTAGTCTCCTGTTATTTGGATCCCACACTGGGGAGGGGAAGCTTCTTGAGGGCAGGGACTGACTGTCTTTTGCCCTTTGTTTCCCTAGTGCTTAGTACGGGGCCTGGCACCTAGAACTCACTTAATAACACTTGACTGATTAGCTTTAGAGGCCCACAGTAACAATGACTTTTCCCTTCTCTGAACTTAGGTTGCACTTAATTTGTTCCACTTTTTTTGTCCTTTGTCATAAAATACCTTATAGATTAAACTTCTAAAAAATCTGTTTACATTTTGTCTTCCCAACTCATTGGTCAGTTCCTCATGGGCAGGGACTGTTTTATACTCTGCCTTTCTCACAGCCTACCTAGCTCTGTACTGTTTATGTAGAAGGGATGCTGATCTCTGTTGGGTGAATGCTGAGCTGTAGGCTCAAAGATAGGCTTTCCTGTCTGAACTGGTTCCGCCAAGGTTCTCTCATGAGTCAGATTTGGAAGCTGTTTGGCTCAGCAGATAAAACATGCAACAGATTTTGGAAAAATTAAGTTCTCTTGCTATCCATCCCACTGATTTTTTTCTTTGACCTTGGACAAATCGCTTAGACTTTGTTATTCTGGTTTCCTTATCTATTGAGTGAGCCAATCATAACCATTCTCACCCGTTATAACTGAAATTAGTTAAAAGTTTCAGACAAGCAATAAAGTGGTTATGAGAAATTGTGGGACCAGATTGGTCACCCCACCCTGGCCACACCCCCTTTCTGGACAGGTGATCTTGCAGGAAATTCATCTTCCTTTTTCATAGTGGAGGAAAGTCAAGCTCAGGAAAGGTGGTTTAACTGGTCGAAATTTTGTTACGTAGTCAACAACTCAGGGAAACAAACAACCATCCACCTGTCCTAAAATGCCCAGAGGTAGAATGCAGTGACAGCTGTTTAACAGAGTTGTTGCGTAGTAATTTAGGACAAGTAGTGAATTGAGATAGACAGGATGTGATTCATCTCCCAGGTGTTTGGTTAGAATAGACTGTAATTGGGGTGTTTGGCTTTTTTGACTTACTATGTGAGTGACCATGAAGTCAATAAGCAATTAGTATGATTCTGCTATGTTCTAAGTGCTACACTGTGCTGAGCAGTGGGCATGTAAAGAAAGACTAAAGAGTCTCTGCTCTCAAGGAGCTCACACTGTAATGAGGGAGGCAGAATATACAAACAACTATACGCAAATGATATAAACAGGATAAATTGGAATTAATCAGCAGAGGGAAGGCATTAAGATTGAGGGGGATCGGGAAATGCGTCTGATAGAAGATGGCATTTTAGCTGGACCTTGAAGGAAGCCAGAGGCAGGGATGAATAGAGAGAGAATTACAAGCATAGGGGACAGACAGGGAAAATGCCTCAAGTTAAGAGACGGATGTCATGTGTAAGGAAGAACAAGGAGGTCTGTGAAATTGGGTCATAGTAAATGGGGCTGAGTGAGGTGTAAGAAAACTAGATGGAGGGGGGGCAGATTATCAAGGACTTGATTTTATTTTTGATCCTGGAGGTGATAGAGGAAGCCATTGGAGTTTAATTGAGGAGGGGTCTGGCATGGTCAGACCTATGCTTTAGGAAGATTAATTTGTTAGCTGAGTAGAGATTGATTGGTACAGGGAGAGATTTGTAGCAGGAAGACCAACCAGCAGGCTATTTCGTTGCTCCAGATATGAGGTGATAAGACTCTGAAGCAGGGTGCTGAAGTGTCAGAGAAGAGAATATGGACAAGAGATGTTATGAAGGTAGAAATGGTAGGACTTGACGACTGATTGGATGTGGGGTGGAGAGAGGGAGGAGTCAAGGATGACACCTAACTGGTAGGCCTGGGTAACAGGACATTGGTACCTTGTGACAGTTAGAAGTTAGAAGAAGAGAATATTTGGGGGAAAGATAATGAGTTCAGTTTCAGATTCAGTTAGTTTAAGAGGTCTACAATTCATTCAATTTAAGATATCTAATAAGTAGTTGGAGATGTGAGACTGGAGGTCAGGAGAGAGGTAGTTAGTGCTGGTTGCAAATCATCAGCATAAAGATGATAATTCAATCCATGGAAGCTGATAAGGTCACCAGTGAAACAGTATAGAAGAAGAGAAGAGGGCCCAGAGTCCTGGAGAACATCTTCAGTTATTGGGCATGACCTGCATGAAGACCCAACAAAGGAGACTGAGAAGCGATAGATAGGGGGAGAACCAGGAGATAGCAGTGTCACAAAAACCTAGACAGCTAACAGTACCAAGGAGAAGATGGTGTCAGAAGCTGCAGAGAAGTCAAGAAGAATGAGGATTGGAAGAAAAGTCATTAGATTAGGCAGTTAAGAGATTATTGGTAACTTTGGTGAGGGCAGTTTCAGTTGAATGATAAGATCAGAAGCTAGTCTATAGAGAGTTAAGAAATGGAGGAACTCTACCAGTGGAGGCCGTTGTAAATGGCATTCTCAAGGAGCTAACCACAAAAGGAAGAGAGAAGGGATTATAGCTGGCAGAAATGGACGGATCAAGTGAGGGGGTTTTGAAGATGACGGAGGCATGGGCCTGTTTGTAGGTAGTTAGGGAAGCAGCCAGTAGACAGGGAGAGATTGAACATGAGTGAGAATGATAAAGGGGCAATCTGCAGGAGATGAGACAGAATGGGATCTCTTGTGCATGGAGAGGGGTTTGCCTTGGTAAAAAGGACCACCTCTTCGTGTGAGACAGGGTGAAGGAAGAGATGTTAGAAGACTTCTGAGTAATGTGAAATGAAGAGGAGGGGAGAATAGGAGCTCTTGGCAAATGGCCTCATTATTTTCAGTGAAATATGAGGAAAGGTTCTCAGCTGAGAGGATTGGAGGAGCTATGAGAAGTCTGAGGAAGGATGAAAATGTTTAGAAAATCCACTGTGGTGAATGAGTCAGTTATCCCCTCATCATATTGAGGGGTCAGTTCAGATTCTGTCACATAATCTTGTAGTGAGCCCAGTCAGCGTGATTTTAGGATTTTCTCCAGCTTCATTCAGCAGCACATGCAAAGGGGCAAAGGCAGTGGGTGGTGGGAGTACTCCAAGGCAGAAGCAGGGCAAATTCAGCCACAGAGTAAGGGGGCCAGGATCTCAAGGGAACAATACAGTCCAGTGTTGAACTGGTTCACCCAGGATCCAGAGGAGGAAGGAAGGAGCATAGAGCTGGTAGAGAGGCAATGGCCTGGGAAAGAACTGAGGAGCTGAAGGAATGAAGAACAGGGCATTGTAAAGCAGAAGGAGACATGGCATGACAACAGCCTGTGAGCAGATAAGGGAATTTTAGAGTTCATGAACATGGAAGTAGTCCATTTGATGGTGATAGCAAGATCATTTACTTATGTGGCCATCTTTGTGTGTATCTGATGTGAGGAAGGAAACACACACTTAGTAAGCATCTACTATGGCCAGGCACTGTGCTAAGTACTTTACAATTATTACCTTCAACCCTGGGAGGTGCTATTATTTTATTTTTTTGGCTAGGCAATGGGGTTAAGTGACTTGCCCAGAGTCACACAGCTAGTAAGTGTCAAGTGTCTGAGGCCAGATTTGAACTCAGGTATTCCAGACTCCAGGGCTGGTGCTCTATCTACTGTGCCACCTAGCTGCCCCCAGTAGGTGCTATTATTAATTGAATTGTCCAAAGCCACACATTAAGTATCTGAGGCTGGATTTGAATTCAGATCTTGACTCCCAGGCCCTGTATTCTATACATTGAGCAACCTCAGAATAAGTCACGGGAAATGAGTAAGTTGAGGAACTGGAAAGTTAGGGTGTCTAAGACAGTATCAATAAGAATGTGGAAATCTCCTACTATAAATATAAGGGCAGGAGTTGGGGAGGAAAGATTGTAGCCAGATACTGGACTCATTGAGAAAAAACGGGGAACGTCTTAGAGGTCCGTAGGCAACAGCAAGTAGAATTTTTATCAGGTGGTAGATAGAGATTGAGGGAACCTCAAAAAAGAAGTTACTGAATCATGGTGGCAAAGGGTGAGCCGTGGGGAGCAAGGAGTATTCCAGTAACCCCACCTCAACTAGTGAGTTGGCGGGGAACAAATGGAAAGTACTACCAGTGCTAGAAGATTCCCAGGGAGGCTTGTATTACCAGGTGAGAGCCAGAGCCAAGTGAGTGCAAGAAGATGGAAGGAGGCGGAAAGGAAAAGATTTAAGATGAAAGCAAGTCTTGAGGCCTAGTTCATTTGCTAGGAAAAAAAATAGAGGAAACACCATTCTAAGTTTGTTTTATAGGCTGTGTAGTACCAGTAGGTGGGCTGCTCATGTAATATGGATGTGGGGCAAGAATTAGTATCCATGGAAAGAAGCAGAAGGAAATGTCCAGTGCATTGGGAGACCCACTTTAGAGGATTTATTGAAAAACACAGCTAAGAGTTTATGGGATGAGAATGCCTACTGAGATGGTAGTCTGCACTGGAGGAGGGAAAGAAGATTCACACTGATGAATTTGTGGATCTACTGAAGGATACTGCTGGATCACAGATTTGGAACCCCAAGGGATCTTTAAGGCCACTGAGTCCAGTCACCTGAGAAGCAGCCTGGTGTAGTGGACAGGGCCCTGGACTTGGAATCAAGACCTGGATTTCAATCCCTTATTAGATATTGATTAGCTGTGTGATCTGGCTTGCCTTCTCTGTGAGAAGGCAAATTTGGGAGTTGAACTCAGTACCCTCCTAGGTCTCTTCTGGCTCCAAATCCGTGATCTCTCATTTTATAGATGAGGAAACTGAAGCTTGGAGAGCTGAAAGGACTTTGGTTAAGACACACAAGTGGTAGTAGATAGCAGACCTGAGAATTGAACCTAGACCCTCTAACTCCAAACACCACACACTTCCCACAACACCACAAGTATTTTCCTTCAAAGCAGTCACTCTGGGAGAGTTTTTAGAGACAGGGGAAAAAGCAATGGTCTGGAATCAGAACAAGACTGGTTTTCTTGTGGGAAGCAGGAGGAACTGGTCAACTAGGGTCCACGAGTCAGAGCCCCGCTCACTTCTGCCACCCACTGTCTGTGTGACCTCAGTAAAGTCTCTGCATTTGTTACTTTCGTCCTCTGCTACAGTCTGTTCCTACCTAGCACATAGTAGGCACTTAGTAAATGGTTCATTGAATCAAATTCTGTGAAATTTGTGTTCTACAAAGTAACCAGCTTGGGGAGCTATGTATCTATTTCAGTGATGCTGCCATTTATTAAAAAAAAAAAACATTTTGGGAACTCCTTAAGAATGGCTTTCAGAATCAGTCAACAACCATTTACTTATTAGACATCTACTGTATGCTAGACACCGTGCCAAATGCTGGACATGCAAAGACAAAAGTGTAACAGTTCTTTCTATCCTGCAGCTTCCGTTCTGATGGAGAGGCAATAGGCACACATATAAGAATATATACAGGATGAACACAAGGTAATTATGACGGGATGGACACTAGTAGCCTTGGGGTCATGGTATCAAAGTCTAGAAAGTCAAAATCTCAGTCAAAAAAAAGGTGAAATCTGGTGGACTTGGACCCCTCCCCGAAATGGAGGCCCTGGGAGGAACTCAGCAGTGGGAAAAGAGGGGCAGTGTGAAGGAGAGCTATTCCAGGGTAAGAAGGACCCAAGGACAGATGGATGTTCTAGGGTGAGGAGGTATCATGCTGAGCCTTCCAGGCATGGACTGCCAAGACTTGGAGATGGGAGATGGGAGGTGGAGTAGCGTGTGTGAGTCACAGCACATAGACTTAGTTGACTGCCCCCTCCCAGGCCCCAAGATAAAACCTATTCACTTATAGTCACATCCGAATAATCCCCAGCATGATTCATCCAGTTGATTTTTCAAGAATCAAATCCACCCTCATAGAGCATGAAGATTTGTCCCTTCTTTTGTCCTCTCTCTCTTTTTTTTTATTAATTTATTTTGATTTATCAACAATCACTTTCATAAGCTTTTGAGTTTAAAATTTTTCTCCCCCTTCCTCCCCACCACCATCCCCAAGACAGTGCACAATCTGATATAGGCTCTACATATACATTTCTATTAAACATTTTCACATTAGTGATGTTGTAAGTAAGAATTAAAACCAATAAGAGGAACCACCAGAAAGAGGAAACAAAACTCAACAGAAGAGAAAAAAAAATAGCAAATAGTATGCTTCGATCTACATTCAAATTCCATAGTTCATTCTTTGGATGTGGATAGCATTTTCCATCACAATTGTCCTCTCTTTTTGGGGACCCTCAAAAGAATGTGCCATCTGCTTTGAAAGCAATTTTAAAGCAGTCTGAATCAGTGGAGGGTCATTGGTTGGGGAAAACATGTCTGCAGTAGGTGAGATTTGAGTGGGGCCTTAAAGCATGAACAGGATCTTAAGTAGATTCAAAAGCTCCCTGAGGACAGAAGTCAAACACTAGACTAGACTACCTGGGGAGGCTGGCAAACCTCCTTCCCCAAAGGTTTTTAGGAAAGTATTAAATAGACTTGTGGCCAAAGTCTGTACAGTCTTGCTTTGTAAGTCTCTGTTAGGAAAGTGACCAGTAGACATTTCCTTCCCTGGCTTCCCTCAAATCCCAGATAAAATCCAACCTTCTACAATAAGCCTTCCCAATCCCTTTTAATTCTAGTGCCTGCTTCTATGGATTTCTCTCCTCTTTATCCTATCTTTAGCTTGTTAGCGTACAGCCGTTTGCATATTGTCTACCCCATTAGATTAGGAGCCCCTTGAAGGCAGGAACTATTTTTCCCCCTTTCGCCTGTCTTTGTATCCCCATTGCTTACCACAGCACATGACACATAGTAGGCACTTCATAAATGCTTACTGACTGTCTAACTAAAGAAATACACAGGTAATTTTGGCCAAAGACTAGCAAAGGAGATGGAAACTCTCATCTGTAGAAGTGATGAACCTAACAGGAATCTCTACCTACTTTTTTTTTTTAAGGCAATTGGAGTTAAGTGACTTGCGCAGGGTCGCACAGCTAGTAAGCGTCAAGTGTTTGGTCTGAGGTCGAATTTGAACTCAGGTCCTGTGCTCTATCCACTGCACCACCTAGCTGCCCCAACCTAACAGGAATCTCAAAGCAACAAGAGGCATATTGAAAATATCAGGCACTTCCTCCTTAGGGGTGGATTTCACCTCTCTGCTATATCTAAGCATTTATGACAACCTATTCGGTGCACATCTGTAATTATTCACAGGAATAGAATGTATGAGGCAGAACTGATTGATGTGTTGTTTCTTCCAGCTCACTGAAGACAACAGAAGCCTCCCTACTAACCTTTGTTCCTTTTGTCGTTGTTGTTTTCAAGGCACCCAAATCTATTTTTGTCACTGTTATCTGCATGTTTACACATCTATTTTGTCTTTTTTTTAAATGGAGTTGACTGTATTTGTGGGTTAGGAGGCATCTGGTGGTTCAGTGGTTAGGACATTGGGCCTGGAGTCAGGAAGATCTAAGTTCAGATCCAGCCTCAGACACTTCCTAGCCGTGTGACCCTGGGCAAGTCACTTAACCTCTGATTGCCTGACAAAGTGTATCCACTGGAGAAGGAAATGGCTAACTGCTCTGGTATCTTTGCCAAGAAAATCTCAAATGGAGTCACGAAGGATTAGACATGACTGAAACCACCGAAAAACAAGTGGGTTCTGTACTATGCATAGGACACTTGCTCTTGGGCTTCCCAAGTTGTCATATGTCCGTTTTCTTGGGGGAGGGAATTAGGGGGAAGGGTCAACCTGTGTTTTCATTGATATAGGGAACTCTCAGTAAAAAAACTCCCTTTACCTTTGCAGGTCATCTCGAGCTCTCCAATTTACATGAGAAGTTTCCTGGGTCACCAAAAGATTAAATGACTTGCCAAGGGGTCACCCAGCTCAGATGTGTCAGAGACAAGACTTGAACTGAGGTCTTCTTGACTCAGTGTCCAACACTCCATCCTCTCTGGTCTACACACGCAGTGTCACGTAGCTTTCATAAACAGTCAGCGTGATCTTAATGTCCATCTCTGTATAAGCAGTACGGCTGTGTCTCTGAATATTTAACATTCCAGAAATGACCTCAGGCAGTGACACAGAGATGCTGGCATGATCTGTAACCCAAGAGGTCCCTTTCTTGAATTACTTATAGGAAAGGTATTTAAAGGTCTTAGTGCAGTTTTAAGATATTAAAACTTAAAAGCTTAAGTTAAAGCTAAAATCCTACCTGGGAGGCAGATGCTATTACTATCCCAATTTTCTAGTTAATGAAACTGAGACAGAGATTAAGTGACTTTCCTTACAATAGGGAGGGAGAGAGGTAGCAGAAGGTCCTATTTCACAATGAGGAAGTAGAGATTGTGACTTGGCCAACATCATGAAGCTACAAGGTAACAAAATGGTCAGTACTGAAGCAGTTAAAAAACTTTAAACTGCGCTAGACTTTTGGGACACCTTGTATCTCAACTAATATATTCCATTCTACTCAAATGACTTATAAAACTCATACTGGAAAGGCAAGGATGGGGCAAGGTGGTAGTAGTGCTGCTAAATAAAGACTTTCAACATGGAAAGTAGAAGAAAGAATCAAATGGAAATCAGGAGACTGCAGCTCTCACTTCAAGCTTATCACCAACCAGTTTATAACTCTGGGCAAATCTTTATTGCTCAGGCATTGAGGAAAACAATGAATAGAGCTGGGCCTGGACAAAGACCTGAGTTCAAATGTAGCCTTAGATACTTACTAGCTGTGTGACCCTGGGCAAATCACTTACTCTCTGTTTCCTCAACTAGAAAATGAGGATAAAAATAGCACTTACCTCCCAGAGTTGTTGTGAGAAGCAAATGAGATAATATTTGCAAAGTAGTTAGCACACTTCATACCTGGCACACAGTAGGTGCTTAATATTTCCTTTGTGCCTTGGTAGAATTTTGTAGTGCAAAGGTATTGTTCTTAGTTAGAATTATAGGATTGTAAGACTTAAGTGCTGGGAAGGACCTAAGGTACCATCTAGCCCAATCTCTTTTTATTTTTATTTTTATTTTTGCTTTTTGGTGAGGCAGTTGGGGTTAAGTGACTTGCCTAGAGTCACAGAGCTAGTAAGTGTCAAGTGTCTGAGGCTGGATTTGAACTCAGGTCTTCCTGACTCCAAGGCCAGAGTTCTATTCACTGTGCCACCTGGCTGTTCCTCAGTCTCCTTATTTTATAGATGATGAAATTGCCCAAGGTCACACAGGTGGCAGAAATGGAGTTTGAACCCAGATCCTCTGACTCCAAAACCAGTACTTTTTTCCACTGTGCCCTACACACTTAGTTTGTAGTTCTGTCTTCATCCCTTAAATATTCAACCCTTAAAAACTGGATGTACTAGAAGTACATCCTTGGGCAAGTCACTTAACAACTGTTTCCTCATCAGTAAAATGGGAACATTTATAAAGGAATTTTAAGTTTTGCAAAGCACTTTCACCATAACCTCCCCCTCCCCAATGAAGTAGGTAGGTAGGTAGGTAGGTAGATAAGTAGGTAGGTAGCAGAAACACACTCATCCCTACCAATGGTGAAGTAATCATGAGGAGATTGTGACTTGGCCAAAGTCACACAGCTAATAAGCAGTGGAAGTCAGGGCTCAAATCCATACCTGACTCTGTTTTACTATAGCCGCCCACCTCAGAGGGTTGCTGTGAAGACACCACATGAAAGTGCTAACTCACCCTAATGGTAAAAGCACTTTTGTAAATGTAAGCTGTTATGATTATTATCAACAAGAAAATTCTTTGACTACCATTTCCTCTTCTCTCTCTCCACCCACCGCATTTCCCCTCACAAGAATTTGTAAGGATGAATGAGAGAAGAGTGTAACCCCAAGTCCCAGAGCCCACTGGAATGGCACTTTCCCTATTGGTAGAGATCAGTGTCCCAGGAGAGAGGAATTTTATTAGAGTCAATTCAGGCACTTCCGGCTTCTAGCTTCAAGATAGAAGATGTCAGCCTCACTAAAGGTTGCTAAAAGAAAAGACACTGAGAAGGAATTGACATGAGAGGAGCTGGCTGTCTCCATCATATCTCTAGAGCCAGCTTGTTACACTAGAGATTTGGAGGAATTTCCCCTAATTTTCAAGAAGCAGTTTTCTTCGGGGGATCTTACTCTTCATTTTCCAAGCTGTTAATTCTCTTTCCATGTCTTTCTTCCATAGCCTTCATTTAGCTTTTTAAATCTTTTTTTTTGCTCTTAAAAACAAAAACACCTGATTCTGCTTTTTGACTCTTCTAGTTTTATTTTTATTTTATTTTTATTTTTAATTTTTTTGGCAAGGCAATTGGGGTTAAGTGACTTGCCCAGAGTCACAAAGCAATTTAGCTTTGAACTCAAGTCCCCCTGACTCCAGGGCTGGTGCTCTATCCACTGCACCACCTAGCTGCCCCCTTCTAGGAATTTTTGCTGGGCTTGTGTACGATTGGCATTTTTCCTGGAGGCTTTGCTTGTAGATATCTTGGAGTCACTCTCTTTTGTGTTTGTGTCTTGAGCTTCCCTATCACCACAGGAGCTCTTTATGGGCAGGTTCTTTTTTTGTGGTTGGCTCATTCTTCCAGCCCACTTCTTGACTTTGACTTTATGTTAACAATGGGCTCTGCACACTTCAGGGTGGGGGTGGGGACGGGGGCAGTATGGCCTGAGCTTCTGTGCTTTTATGTCCTTCTCAGCTCAGTCTGTGGGTCTTTAAGTTTTCAGTGCTCCCAGAGTTGTGTAGGGCAAAGGGAGGTCTGCCCATTGCCCTCCTACTCTAAGCTCAGCAAGTTCGTGACCCATGTTTGGCTCTGTCAGCTTGTCTTTGTTTGGGACTTTCAGTAGCTTGCTGCTGGACTCTGCCACTCTTACCCCGCTGGGAGACTGCAGGTTCTGTTGGCTCCGCTTTGGTCTGAGACTCTTGCCCTGGTTATTCCACTGTGGGCTTTTACTGGGCTAAAGGCTAGAACTGAGTGTCTGTTTTGCTTCTGGAATCAGGGTCACAAAGTTACATTTCTAGAACTTGTTCCTTGCTCGGCATCCAGCTAAGGACCCACACTTAATAACCACCCCTCTCCACCCTGGGTCTGTGATCTGGAACTGGATAGTGGGTGACAGAGCTAACCAATGACATCTTTTCCTGCACCCAGCACTAGCTCAGGGATCCCCTGAGATCTTTCTATTCCAGTGTTTCCTGACCTAGTATTTTGTCTCAGCCTTCTTTTCATCTTTGGGCACTAGAATGCTCCCTCCCACAGCTCCTACCCCAGAGTCTGAAGACCTCTCTGTGAGCTAGGTAGGAACATCTCTGTGTTATCCAGAAGGACACTTATACTCTGCTTGACTAAGTAGTACAGCCAGAACCCTAACCTAAGTCTTCTGAATATAAACACCACTACACAATCCCACCTCTTTAATAATAATTAGTTCATATTTGTGTAGTACTTTATTATAATAATTATTATTGTTATTAATCGCTAGAATATACATAATACTTATTGTGTGCTAGGCACTGTGCTAAGCGTTTTACAATGATTATCTCATTTGATCCTCTTAACAAATGTGGAAGGTAGGAGCTATTTACAGATGAAACAGAGGCAAACTGCTGTTAAGCAACTTGCCCAGGTCACATAGCTAGTAAGTATCTAAGGCTCAGACTTGAACTCAAGTCTTCCTGACTCCAGGCCCAGCACTCTATACCACTTCACCACCTAGACACATCGTTATCTTCTATAATCTTATTTGATCCTCACAGTAACCCTGTGAAGCAAAGTTAATATCAGTCCCATTTTATAGATGAAGAAACCCAACATTCAGAGAGATTAAATAATTTTAAGACCATCCAACTAGTAACTATGGCAGAGCTGAGACTCCCATTTGGCCAGTTCTTTGTCAAGCAAATCTGTTAGCAGATATGAAGATAACTTATTGTAGAAAGCAGGACCACCACCCTTGTTTGCGGTAGGCTTGGTGAGTGGGGCGAGTAGTAACTTAGTTGTGCCAAGTTTCACGCTCTGGTCTCAGTATGTGATACTATGTAATAAGGCAGTACTGCAAAGATTATAGATTATCTGTAAGGAACCTGTCATTGAGGGATTCGGCCAGTGGGTGGCAGCAGCGTTAAGGTTTATGTACTACTGGTATACCCGTTTCTGCAGTCCCACACTATAGAGGGTCTAAGCATGGACAGGAGAAGCATTCTGACAGCAAGGTCCCATCATAAGGATGTCCCAGTCTGCTTGGTTGAAATGTAAATCTTTCTCCATTCATTTTTGACCTCCATTCTCAGTCCAATTATATATTCATGTTTTGGAAATGTGATGTGGGACAGCACAGTATTGTGTTTAATGGTTGGGGGGGAGAGGCGGGAGGATAGAAGGGAGTTAGGAGTGGGAAGAGAAGATAAGAGAAAGGCAACAAATATTTATTAAGTACCTACTTTGTGGCAGGCACTATGCCCCAGGAAAGGTTGTAAAACCTAAAAATAAATGCTAGTTGATGACTAGCAGAGACCTATGGCTGGGTAGTGTCATTACTCAATGACTAACTGCTTGTTGGACTGTTGGAGAAGAGATTTCTGTTCAGATGTGAGTTGGGATAGATTAGCTCAGGTTTCTTCCAATTTGGGGATTCTGTAATTCCACTTACTGTCTGTGACAGAAAGGAGCAGGGTTGGGATGACAAGACAACAAACAGATTCAGGAAAATGTGAATCAATCAATCTATTAGGCACTTATTGAGCATCTGCCAGGCACCCAGCACTGTGCTCTTAGATCCAGGGACAAAAATGAAGCTCCTCAAAAAGTTTACATTCTATTGAGAAGCATCATAGACAACGTTTTTGCAGTAAATTAGACAATCCTATGCCAAAGGCTGGTCCAGTTCTAGTTAAACATCTTGGGGATGGTCTTATTAGACTTAGGAGTTCCTCTTTCAACAGTCTAAAAGAGCAGAAAATCCCTGGTCCCAGGCACAATGAGACCAGATTGGCTTTACACTTCCTCTGTTGTAATACCCCAGAGCCACAGGAGCTCTATAAAATAACAGGCTGAATTCCTCAGGAAATTTCCAGCTAATCTAGCCTCTCTGAAGACTCCCTAAACAAGTGGTATGACCTAAGCCTTTCCAATAAGTGATCTCTTTCAAGGGAGTCTCAGATTGCACCTGTTTACCCATGCATCCAAAAGACTTAGCACGATTTGGACCGCCCTCAGAAAAATGATGAATTGAATATAGT